GATCATTCATTTTATTTCTTAGGAGAGAAACACTTTACACACAATTTGTTTATTCAACTTTAGTTAGTAATACCAACAATCCATTATCATTTTGTATCTTACTTTAACCTACTCATATTATACTTTCTAAAAAACTAAAAAGTAAACTTACTTTCCAAATTACTGCTTCATCAATAATGTATGAACACATAAATTTATTAATTTTTTAGGATAATTTCAAAGACTTTCTTTCAGGTGGTTCCGCTTTATAGTATTCATCTCCCACAATGCGCATACCTCATAAAGAAGGACAAAATTTTCAAATCACAATTAATTTATATTTTTTAAAAATAGGTTTAAAGAATGGTTACCTAAGGTATGTTAAGACACCATATTAAACTAATTATATGCTGGATTCATGACTATTAACTTCACCAAGTTCAACAGAACTACACAGTGAAATATGGGATTCGACAGAAGAAGTAGAAATAGAACAGAGATTTTGCTTCAACTAGTCATGTATGTCAGAAATTCTGTCAAGTAATTAAATCCTTTATATTAAGCATTATATATGATTACTCCAAAAAAAAAATATTATGTATTAGAAAAGGTGCACAATTATAAATAAGACTTTTATTAATTTTTTGTTACAGTAACCAATATTCTTATTATAAGAACTAACAAAATATATGTATTGTATTTTTATCGAGGAATGCCTTGTCGATTGCTGCTAGCTACTTCCTCATTTTCTTCTTCGTATTTTCTTTCCAATTTTTATTTTATCATGTGATTTTTTGCTACCTATATTGTGCAACTTACAAGTTTTTTTTTTTTGCTTTTTATTTATAGCACAAAGAAAGTTACTATATGCAGCAAACAAATCCGTATAATATTCTTATATTGATATTTTAAATGGTATAAGTATAATTTATTAATTTATAATTGAGCCATTGGTTTACCCTTATTAATGTTGGTATCTTACAGACATTGACAGAAGGTAATGCGTATAATAATAATGGTATTATTAATGATTTAATTTAGCCTTTCTCGTAGATGGATGTATGATAATTTGGATATTTTTCTATCTTTTATATTTTGTGGGACATGTGGCTTCCACTTCTCTACTCACATGTTGGTTGACATATCCTCCATACGCTAAAGATTGCAAGGTACTATTGTTAATTATTTGTTATTGATATTCTACTTGCTTTGTTTTGGTCAAGAATGAAATGCAAGTATAGTAATCTAGTGTAGGACAATTTTTTTCCATTTTAAGAAAAAATAAAGATACTAACGGCTTCATTAGTTGAATTACAAAATACCCTTCAAATCATATTATACTAAATTACCTTTTAAACTAAAACAAAAAAATTTACAAGCTAAGTTTATGGCAGTAAACAATTTACAACTTTTTGACTAAACTCTGTGAATGAATATTCAAAGTAGGGTCTTATTTAATGAAATTATATTAAATGAGTACTAATTCATGCTTATATAATAAAAAATAGAATAAGATGTTAATGGACATTTACGACCTTCCAAATGCTATTATATTTCTCTTGTAGTTAAATTTGATGCTAATATATAATTTTGCAAGGTGTAAAACAAAAAATTGCAATAGGGTGATGAGTACATGAGGGTGTCTATACAATCTAATTATTCAGATAAAATGTGATTATTAAATTCATGAAAAATAAGCAGCCATTTGATCAATGAGTAATTACACAATTTGTTCAAATTAAGTTTCAATATTGAGGCTTTCAGCTTGTGAAAAGTATATAAGAACTTTATGCTTTATTTAACCTAAAAATCGCTAAAACATAATTATTCTTTGTTGATTGTAATTAACAATCATAAGCAAAACCACTTCTAATTAATGTGTTAAAGTTGATATAACTGTCATTGCATTCATGACATTTCCTGTTGTATGTATAGTATATTAAGGACATTTTCTGCATAATCGCAGCCGGACTTTTTATACTCACCCTTTTCCGGAAGGATCGACAATTTATTGGTACGTCATGCGTCCAATAGTTGTCGTGAGTTCCAGCCTAAGTTGTCCACTTGGGTTTCCGGTCTTTCAAAAGTCACTCTAGTCAACTAGCGTAGAGCGAAACCAAATCCCTAATTTAGCGCATTTTGAACTAAGTTGACCCAACACTCAAGGCGTGTTGGGCCCATTAGAAGTCCACCTTGTGGTACTATTTGACCCATTTTGGTCAATAAAAGACAATCATGTTTATGTGTTTATTTGAAGGATGTATATGTCATTTTTAAACAAATCAATTATCAAGTGGGGGTGGGGGTTTACTTACCTTTTCCGTTTTTCTTGTAGGATGAATCCGACATGTGATCCGTTGAGGACCCGAATGGTGACCATACCCCATCTTTACCTCCAAGTTTGGTGGAAGTTCATGAACGCGGAAGGCAAAAAGAAAGTTCAAAGACAAATATGCCATCTCCCGTCATTAATGGAAATGGTGGCTTATCCCGACTTGATTGGAACAATGGTGAAATTTTGGGACAGCGACAACATGGTATTTCGGTTCGGGGAAGTAGAGTTGACTCCGACTATTGATGAAGTTCTTGCAAGTTACGAGAGTGTCGGCATGTGCAAGAAACATCAACCCGATGTTGATCTTCTCTTTCCAAAGATGTGGGATTTTGACGAAATTAAAGAAAAACTTTCACTTGTCAAAGTTGAGTGGATGGACAGGCTTCCTGGGTCAATTATTCCACTTCGGAAGTTGTATTATCGATTTGGACGCGCAAGAACTTACGAGAAGTTCAAAGAAGAGTTGTAATTTTTACAATGATCAAGTGTTATACGTTAAGAAAAGAAAAATAATAAAAGTGAGATAGGGGAATTTTTATGATGCAGATATAGGTGCTTTGTGGAGATTACTTTGCCTTCATTGATAGTTTTTGGCGAGACCTTTTTGCTCCCGGAAGACTCCATTTTTATTTCCACTTTAATTGTTTTTGTAATATCTTTTTCACCCTTAATGTTTTAAGTTTTAACCTTAGAGTTTCATATTTACTAGTATTCGAAGAAATCTCCGTGTCCCACTTTTATTTTTTTATTTATAGGAGGTACGAATACTACAATAATCTATTGTACAAAAGTCATATATGAATTGTATTATCAATGATTTAATTTAGCCTTTCATGTTGACAAGTGTATGATAATATGAATACTTTTCTATCTTTTATATTTTGTGGGATATCTGGCTTTTACTTCTCTACTCACATGTTGGTTGACATATATATCCTCCATACGCTAAAGATAGCAAGATATATGATTGTTAATAATTTGTCATTGATATTCTTCTTGCTTTGTTTTGGTCAAGAATGAAATGTAAGGCATAATAAGTACTCCCTCCGTTTCACAAAGAATGACCTCCTTTCCTTTTTAGTCAGTTTCAAAAAAATGACCTCTTTCATTTTTTGGTAACATTTTACTTTTTGCTTTCTACGTGGCATGTTTAAGACCACAAGATTAAGAGCAATTTTGTTACATTTGACATAACTTTAATTTAGGACCACAAGATTCAAAAGTCTTCTTTAATTTCTTAAGCTTTGTGCCAAGTCAAACCAGATCAATCTTTTTGAAACGGAGGGAGTAGTATTTTAAGAAAAAATAAAGGTACCAACGCGCTTCATTAGTTAAATTACGAAAATACCCTTCAAATCATATTATACTAAATTACCTTGTAAACTAAAATAAAAAAATTCTACAAGCTAAGTTTATGGCAGTAAACAATTTACAACTTTTGACTAAACTCTATGAAAGAGTACTAATTCATGCTTATAGTAAATAGAATAAAATGTTAATGGACATTTACGGCCTTCCAAAACTATAGTATCTCCTCCATAAAGACATAATACATAAACATGATCTTTAACTTGCCGGCTGACAATTATAACCTTTAATTTTGGGTTTGCACATGTACACTTAAAGTTGTATAAAATTGAGCAAATGGACACATTCATCCTACATGACACCCTACATGGCAATTGTGTGTCCTACATGTATTATGTCATGTAGGACATGTGTGTCTATCTATTCAATTTTATACAAGTTTAAATATATTTATTTATTATGCCCTCCATAAACCATTTCATTAATTCACTATGTTGAAGTAGAATTGAAAAGTTGGAAAAAGTAGTTCAACATGAAACATATTTATCCGATTGTATGTACATGAAGAGTGATTTTCCTTCTCAGAAATAAACGAAGTATATTTCTCTTGTAATTAAATTTGATGCTAATCACAGTACCATATATAATTTTGCAAGATGTAAAACAAAAAAATTGCAATAGGGTGATGAGTATATGAGAGTGTCTAATTAAATGTGATTAATAAATTCATGAAAAATGAGCAGCCATTTGATCAATGACTAATTAAACAATTTGTTCAAATTTTAGTTCAATTGAGGCTTTTCGCTTATGAAAAGTATATAAGAACTATATGCTTTTTATTTAACCTAAATCGCTAAAATATAATACTATTATTCTTCGTTGATTGTTTGTAATACAAACAATCATAAGCAAAATCACTTCTAATTTTCAATTGGACATACTCTAAATATACATGCATGCTCCTAGCTTATAGTTGACTTATAATAATAATAAAAAATTACAGTATCTCACTCTTATTTGGGATATTTGCTTATTAAAATCAATTGGTCGCTGTTCATAATTTTATTACGTTAATTAGTTGTTTAGAGAGTTTCTTGCTCTCAAAATGAACAAGGGATCAACTACGGAACTTGTAAATTTTATTATATTACTGAAGTAGAATATGAATTAATAACCGAGCAATGGAAAATAAAAATGTATTTTTGGTAAACAAGCTCATAATATAATTTGGAATACTTTATATTTTTGGTAAACAAGCTCATAATTTAATTGTAGAGTCCAACTTACCTTCTACTACTTGGAGTTGAATTAGGTTTGTTTAAATTGTAAGTATTATATAGCGTAGAAACAAAAAAAAAAAAATAAACCTATCACCAACATGGATGGCCTCCCCCATTTGCCTGGAGATATTGTCAACTCCATCTTCTTTAAGCTTCCTGTGAAATCTCTTATACGATTCAAAAGTTGTTGCAAATCATGGTATGGTTGTATCGATGACTCCGACTTCATCAAGTCACATCTACATAAATCGTCTATTGATATTAGTCGTAAAAAATTTGTCTTGGTTAATTCAATCCTTCTACATAGAGAAGGAACACGCAAATTTAAAATTGTGTCAACGGAAGCATCAATTAATGCTGATTCAAAAGTTGTGTATCTGAATATCCCAGAATACTTTAGTGACTATTTTTCATTACAAGTGTTTTCATGCAGTGGCTTGATCTTTATGACGTCATACGATCTTGGCTATTGTATGACATTATTGAATCCTGTGGTTGGAAAATACAAACTCATTCAAAATTCTCTTTTCAGTCAAAACACAAAGACAAATCGTTGTTCCACATCTCCAATATTTGGTTTTGCCTATGATTTTGTGGCTGAAGATTACAAGGTTATATGTGCACATTACTTGATAAACAAATACTTCAACGTTGTTGAAGTATACTCGGTTAAAAATCAATGTTGGAGAGCAATTCACAATACTTTTCCTGTTTCCCCTGATTCTTATAACCAGCACCTATACAGTAATCAAGTTTCATTAAACGGTGTCATTCACAGGATGTCATACAACAGGGCAGTTATATCTTTCCATCTAGTAGACGAAAAAATTTACCTGTAACAGTAGTGCCAAAAAACATGTGGGAAACAGCCGACATTACATGTATTGGGTGATGGCATCTGTGTTTTCACAACGGTTGGCGAGGAAAATTTGATTTGGTCACTGGAGAAAGATAGGTGGAATTGTATCAACAAGTTTCCTACTTTACTCTCACTCATTGGAATGCCTATATTATATTTACCGATTAGAGGTATTAAATACCGCCCAGTAGGTGCCTTCCTATTTGTTAAGGAGAATGGGAACATACTATGGAGAAGGCATAATGGTTCTTTTATTGAGTATGATCTGCGGAAAAATGAATATACTGAGTTTAAGTCTATACAAGTTCCGCCTTTTGTGGCAAATAAGGCTTTGTACCGGGAAAGTTTAGTTTCTTTGAAGATTTCATGGGATTGACTAGGTAGCAATTTCTAGTAGTATTAATTGAAGAATATTATTGTCATTGTTTCTGTTTGATTTGTGGATAATGGTATATAGTAGCAAGATTTGAATGTAAAAATATGATGTTGAATTTCTACACAACAAGTCACTGATTTTGTCTGACTATCACCGTAACTTGTTTTTAAGACGACTCTTATAGTCTGTTTTAAGACGACTCTTATAGGCTATAGGATTGCTAATAGAATGCCTTGCCTATTTATTCAACTTTATACAAGTTTAAGTGTCTTCTTTTGCAAGCTCAAAGTTGGAGGGCATAAATGTGAGTAGACGTAAGTTAAAAGATCATATGTATGTATGGCATAATACATAAATATACCTTTTAACTTGGCCTCAGACACTTAAACTTGCATAAAATTGAACAAGTAGACACATGAGTCCAATGTGACATAATATACGTAATACGCAAATTCACATGTAGAACACATGACTATTACCTTCATATATGGGCAGTAGAGTATAATCTCATATCAAGTTGTAACACCTGCTAATTGCATGTAGTAGACAAGCAGTTAAATATTTGTTTCCTCGAATCCCACGGTAGCTTACACACAATAGAGTTTATGACTACATAGGTATTGGTTATATAGCAAAATCAGAAGATACAGTCTTTCCATTTACAAGGACTTGTTCCACATTATTGACTCGCACAGATTGGAATTGATAGTGCTGCAGTAAAAATAACAATTATTAGTAAGGACTGACAAAACTTGGCTGACTGATTAGTGTATGGAATATTGTTCTTCTAGCACTAAACCTTTCCAATCAGTCACAATCAAGAAAAGGAGAAAATGATGGAGAAAGCAATATGGCATATTTGGAATAGCATTGGATGTGAAATACCACAGATATTATATTAGTATGAGTTTACCTTTTCCTTCCATTTAAAATCTACAAATTTGCAGAAGGGCTCCAATAGTGTGACCTGATCTCCTTGTTTAATCTGTCAACAAGAGTAGTTCGTTAAGGAAAGTCTAATGGGGAGCTGGATAGCCAATACTTACAGAAACTCACTCTATGATGAGTTGATGTTAACCATGACTGTCATGACTCATAGTTCTTGTGTCATTTTTCATTTCTTTCCTTTTTCTCCTTCCACAATCAATAATTCATAGACCATGCCTTTCCTAGAAAACCTTTAGTTATGTTACCTTACTATTTGCTTATTTCATTTTAGTATAGGAATATGGTAGGCTATATGTCACCACAACAATCTGAAGTAAGATAAATATTCAAAGATATGACATTTATTCACTAGATAATAATTGGGTGGGGCTGACACAAACCAAAAGCAGATACATATATAAAGAGATGATATTCAGGCTCACTTATGAAGTGGCAAATGTAATCTTCTTTAATTACATACAGTATTAAAGAAGAGAGGTTCCCTTTAAACTAGTTTTTCATCTAGGAAGTGCAAAATCCTTCGCTTATTTTTTAGGCATGTTACTGCTGCAACAGTATAGCAGCAAACTTATCTGTTGATTTACTTATCTTGGTTACTCCAAGATACTCTACTTTACCAGACAACTTTTTTCTAGGAATTAAGATTTCAACAGATGTACCAAGAAACATTAAAACAACATAATGTAGTGCTTACCGCTTCTTCCTGTATCCCAAACACTAGAAGGACAAAACTGTTCCCATCGGAGTCACAGAGCACATAGTATCTGTTTGAATGAGAGTACACATTGAGAAATAAGTATTTAAGCTTAAACTAGGGCTGCTCAGTCTAGTAACTTCCCACTTTTAAAAGAAATTCTCAAAATGATCATTGATTCTTCTAGATGAAGCAACTTACAATGGAACACCATACTCATACTTAACCAAGCACCGGACTACTCCCATAACTGCAAGCCCTTTGTTAGGGCCTTCAGCTAAGACATCCAAGGTTGCTTTGTTGTAGGAAGGATCCACTGCCAGAAAACACATTACCTCAACTAAATAGATAAATAGATAAATCAATGTTTATAGTTAAATTATGAATAATGTAAAGCCTTACAATCAATATCATCAAGTGACTGGATCAGGGAAGCAAAGCTTGTCTCCGTACTCTTTCCCTTACTCTTTCTCTTGCCCTTTCCTTTACTCTTTGCCTTACTCTTCCCCTTTCTATTTTCATTGCTCTTACCCTGAAAAGCAGGATCACATAATTTAAATGCATCCTTCACAATGTCATTCATAATCTCTTAATGACTCAAAAGAAGAAAACATTTAAAAACTAAGATTCTAAGTCATTATTTTTCTGAAGCTTATATCATA